TGGGGAGAAGCTGGTCAAGTGCGGGAAGACGTGCAGGGCGGCGGTCCGCTCCTCGTCGGTGATCCGCACGTCGTCCAGCCGCTCCAACGACGGCACCGCAGCGATGACAAAGCGGCGGTAGTTCGGGTCGCGGCAAATTGGGTTCTCAGACAAATTCAGCACGCTCAGGTCGTCTAGACGAGTGAGGTGAAGCACCTGGTTGAGATCGCTGATCCGGTTTTTCCGCAGGTACAGCTCCTGGAGGAGGTTCAAGGTGGAGAGAACACCGAGATCGCTGATCTCATTCAAAGACAACGAAAGGACCTCTAGGTTGATGGCTTTATGAAGAATACCAATGTTCTGGAGCTGCGCCGCGCATACATTTAATTTTTGGATACGATTAATATCATCTACTTTAGTCTTCTGAAGAACAAGGTTAAGCGTTAGTACGCCAGCCATTGAGACTAATTCTAGTATTCCGCGCTTTTTTTAACTTGAGATAGACTTTACTTTTCAGTGCTCTCGTAAAATTCGAAAGGATTAATGGACTTCAAAAAAGGGTGTGTCTTTGGTGCAATCTAAGATAAAAAAAAAACGTGATGGGTTCTTGTATTTAGCGTCAAAAACTTCTATAAAATAATATGGATCAAAGGGAAATTTACGACAATCGATCGAAATTTGATTTATAAAAAAAAATGAATAGTGAAAAAAGTAGAGATTTTGTCTCACACAACAAGTTTTAAGTTCAAAAAAAAACATCCGATGAAGTCATGAGTATGTCAGGAAGAAGAGGAAATAATTTTAAAAATTGGAATGACCACATGCGCATGGATTACATCAAAAAAACGCATAAAAAAATCATAATTGAGATTTCTGCAAATAAGTTCCTGCTACGAGCAATTTTGCTCTACTAACGCTGTCAACACTCTAACTCAGTCAAATTTGTGTTGCTGAATCAAAGTACACGATAAGAGATCCTTCCTAATTTACCCCCTTTAATAGTTCATCTTCTGATACACACACATTCAGAGAACATGGATAACATAATTATTATCCTGTGTATCGGTAATGAAAGTCAGCGATAAACAACCTCCAGTCAACGTTTAGGAATAAAAAAAAAGGATGCAGATCGCTTTCCGTAGAGGCTAGGTTTCCAGAAAGTAATTCACTAAGTCACCTATTATAACTAGCAGAGAGTTTCAAGTTCCGCTCAAATGTGTTCTAAGATCTATAATATTGACCATTCGATGCGCACCTTTTTGCACTAAACCCTTGATTTCATATTTTGTATACCTGAGAACCCCTTCAAAAAGTATCCTGAGAGGTGCATTCAGAATTTCCCTTTATATCGGTACTGGGGCTCATTAGTAAACTATACAGGGAAAAAAACATGGAACTATAAGGCAAAATTCGCCGAGTCTCTTCTTTTTTTTTTGCTTTCAAAGCATAAGTCATTCAGTGCGTGGCAAGCAGCGCTCGAAACTACATACGGATTTGCTGCTCTCTAACGCACACTTGCCTTGCAAAGTCAATGACAAACAAAGACTGATGCGGTTTAGACGGCTCAGGTTGATGATACGTCAATACTTCACAGTCGAACCCCATAGACTGCAGGGCACCCTGAATAATACCACCCATAAAACTCGCATAATTTACATTCCAATGCCCCTCGCTGTCAAGGTAATCCGGCGATGCGTGGACATACCGTAGAACTAACGGATTGGCATCAAAAATAAAAAAGCGGTCTGAATTTGCCTCTCTTTGGATTTCATCCGCTTGACGACCAAACCACCGCGGCCAGAGCCGCTCTTGGATAATTTTCAGGGCCGCCAGGGCGGTGAGTGGCCGCCGTTGGTGCTCGGCAGAATTCAAAAGAAATGACATCATCACCAGTCGAGCCCCGACATGAACCCCAAGCGATGTTAGACGGGATTCCACCTCCTCAAGGTTGCGAACTCTGGTCGGGTGGGTAAACGCGCGAGAGCACATCTCAGAGAATAAAAAGCTAAACGCCGAGAGCGAAACGGTCGCATCGCGCTTCCCACGAAGGCCATCGAAGCCCTGATCACCGAACTTCAGGCGTTGAGGCTGCTCACGGTGAAGCATTCTAAATATTAGATTGGAGTCTTCGTTTGAGAAATAGGCCGTATGAGGTCACTTTGGGGTCGTAAGATCCTATCAACTCCAAATGATATACTTGAAATCAATGCAGATTACGCAGAAATAAAAATATAAAATAGAAAAGTAATATTCTTAATAAGAACCGTAAAGGAAATTCCAACTTAGAAACTTATCACAATTTTTACTATCGACATCATTATTTATTTCATATGATTTTATCTGGACAAATGATATAACTTACACAAAAGTATGCCGGGAACAGTTTTAGCTCTTTTTTTTCCTCTAAAGTGTATAAATATACTATAAAATACTTGTGTTGCAAAATAGAAGATAAAATTACAGCATTTTTTTTTTACAGCATCGTGAAGAGGAAAAACAGACTAATTGTTTGAAAATATATCCAACGGATTCCATTGTTCAATCACGTATAAAAACAACAACAAACACAAACTTTTTAAATAAGCATCACACCTTCACAAACGAAATGCATTCAGATGCATTGAGAGGTGAGAACGCCGTGGAAAAATTTTTATGTAATATGAATATAAAAAGCTAAATATTTGTGGTTGAAAATATAAGCAATCATTAGAAAAAAAAAATTTGACCCTCGATGAAGATCAACTGCACTTCGGATATCACAAATTATTTACAACAGTTTGATACCGGTCCAATTAAGTTATACTTTCTCAAAACTCCATGTAGTTTTGAAAATTTTGAATTATTAAATGATTGAAAATATTTTAAAAAAATGAAGAGAGGGACCCCCCTCTTCACCAGGTCGATTAATACAATAAAAAAAGCAAGTCGTTTAAATTTTAAAGAGAGGTGTACGTATAAAAAAATATATATATATTTAATCCACAGTAAACTCACATAGACTCATTAAAGAAATTAACATAATCAGGGACTAAGTCGTCATAGCTTATACGATAATCATCATCTTTTCTGAGGAATTCAGATATCCGAACCCAAAACTGTTGTTTAGTGATTGAGGGCCTGTTTGAATTCCGAAATACGCTTAAAAAATTTTCATATAATACAAAAGAAGCAACCGTTATCGGAATTACTCGCGCCACGTTAGTGAAAATACCGCGATACAACCCTGCTATCCCTTCATTACGCCAGATAATTTCCAACCCCCGCCTTGTATTTACATACTCAGGCTTCTGATGATTATGCACGCACTGCATCCGCGTGCGAACCACCTCCAAAGGGTTGAAAAGACTACATGTTATGCCCTTTGCGATGGCGGAGCCCAAGGCCACCTCCATAATCGAAGGATCCCGGTTGCCCGTGAAGCAATTTCGACGAAAACACTCGTAAAGCGTGACATGGACGGTGGTGCTGCTGGTGATGAGGATCTGAGGTCCCAACCCGCGAAACATCACCCTTCGGCCCTCTGGCTGTAGAAAATGGCGCGCGAGGTGAATTCCCCGCGGTGGGCTATTCGCAGCCGCCGCCCAACCCGCCTGGCCCTCCGTGAGTGATCCCTGCAGCTGACAAGACGTCTTGAGGACTTGAAAGGGCGTAATCAACGTTGCCGTAATAAGGGTCGCCACAATAGCCCCGAGGAAGTCCTTCACCAGGGCCCAAACCCCCGTGGTCTCTCCTTTCCCGGCCAATTTCCTCTCGAAGTACGCGGACGAGGTCCGGAAGATCAACAAATACCCCCCCCAGCCCATTCCGTGAAC